ACAGAAGGAAAGCCCAACAGTGACCCAAAAGCTAAAGGAGCTACTTCTTTCAGTGATTCGACAATGCCACCATCTTTGAACTGAGGGGACAGACCAGTGAATTCTGTGTGGAGATTCTCTCCACTCTCAGAGGCTTTGGCTCTGGGTTTGCTGGCTTTTCTATTCCCCCAGGTACTGCTGGGGAACCTGCCACCAAACAATCCCCATGGGTTGTCCTTGCTCTTACATAAGCCACCCCCAGAAAACTGAATTGAGTATGATGGCCGAGTGTGGTTTGGTGTTGACACATCGTCTGTGTGAAATCCATGCAGTATGTGGGAGGACAGAGGGTGGACGCGGAGGCGGGAGGATATACAAGATAGCTGGGGTGGGGGACAAATAAGAGAAAAGGAGCAGAAAATCCCCACACTGAAGCAGAGGCCACTGAGAAATGGACTGGGGTAGGGTAGGGGCAAAGGAGCCTAAACCTGAAGACTGGAAGCCCCGTTGGACTAATGGCAGCTGGTGAGTCGGGGCAGGGTTTGACAGGGAGGCCAGGCGCCAAGGGAGCAGCAACTTCAGCTCAGAAAACATCTCAAGAAGGCAAAGGCCTGGAGGGGACAGCAGCCCATTGAGGTATGTGATGGGATGTGACCAGAGGCCAAATTCCAGCTACGAAATCTGAACAATCTCCTTGGTGATATCTTCAGAGGGGCGAAGCTTCCTGTGGAGGGGATGGACATTCAGGCCTGGGAGCTGTTCTCCTGACACATCCTCAGCCCCTGTGGGGGTGACCCAGAGACTGCCAGCCACCAGCTGAGCCAGCCTGGGCAGAGTGTAGGCTCCCAGGGCCTGGCAGGTTCTTCCAAGGAGGGGCTGTGTCTGCGCAGTGGGAGTGGGGTGGCCAGGAGCTATGGAAAACATTCAGCTCAGTCTTGGATCTTCTTAAGTCCCGGATTCCATGACAGGACCTCCAGCACCTACCACCCGACAAAACCAATTCCTTTCTGAATAAGACAGGTAGGACATCTCCCAGTGTGCTCAGATTTAGTATGGACAACAGAGGAACGGTACGATGGTGGTCCAGCAGGTTTCTGGGATTGGTGGCATTCTGGTGTGATGTCAGTGGGCATGGCAGGAGCAGGTGGAGCTAGCCCAGGCACAGGAAACTGGGGCTCTCACACAGCCTTCAGGCCCTTGACCAAACCCTCCCAGGGGTTCTTTGGCCGTGGGAGATTAGGGCAGTTTGTGCAACTGGTTTCCTCGCTTGTTTCAACACCTGCCCAGTGTCTTCTTGAGGCCACGAGGGTGATGTTTGCTCACAAGCTTGTCCCCTTCCCTTCTCTCTGTGTCTTTCCCTTGACTGAGAATCTGTCCCCCAGTGCCAGGGTTCGAGAGCCTCATGCTGTCCCTGGCTGCTTGTGATCCACTGTCCTGGCCACTTCTTCCCAACGTTAGGCTCTAAGCCAGCTCTGCTCACAGAGGACTTCTGCGAGGACATACGTCAGCTTCCCCGTGTTTCTGCAGTTCCCTCTTGTGGGTGGGCATCTATTTTGCCTATGGGCAATGGTGACCCTGCTGATGGAACACAGAGCCACCTCCTTGCTGGTATCTGGGCCAGGCAGGCCCCCACACCAACCCTGACTTGGTTAGAAATGGGTCGTGGCTTATAAATGCCTTGTGTGAGTTTTCATTGTTTCTGCAAGGCCTTCAGAGATGGGAAATACAGTACATTCATCACCACAGTGGGTTTTAATATAACTCAACATTTGTTTTTGCTGCAAACAAGCCCACAGATGACTTGGGGTGGTGCCACTGTCATTTTTTTAAGGAAGAGCCCAAATTTAGGGGCAGATTTGGGACATCTTTCTAACCTGATAAACAGACTTTGTTCTTTTCTTCCTCCAATTTTCTCTCCTGAGAGAAATCTCTAGTCTCAAGGATGTAAATGAGATCAGACATTTAAGTATAGGTCTCTAAAGACTCGCAGCTAAGAACCCTTCAAGGGTCAATATTATTTGGCTCAAAATGTGACCAGAAGCACCTCTTGCACAACTTAAGTTTTCAGTTTTCCTTTTCTTTCCTCTAGATGTTCGAATTCCCTTCTCCAAGCTGAATTCAAACCAGCCTGATAAACACTCGTCCTCTGGCCCCCAACAGCTTTCAAGGATAACTCTGGAGGCTGATGGGAGCAGAGTGGGAAGTCAGGTTTTAGGAAGTCCAACTAAGACTAAGTTTTGAAATTTGTAGGAGGCACCTCCCCTTTCTCTTTGCATCCCCTCAGTGGGTGGTGAGACCTCTGGAAGCCTACTTGAGTCCCAGCAAAGGAAGCAGGGTCCTGCCCTCTGGTCCTCACTGGGAGCGCTCGAGAGCTCAAGGGAAGAGAAACACTGGCTCCAGGTGGAGACACATCCCTCAGCCCCAACATGGCCTGACCCTTTCCCTTCCCGTAGTATCTTTCCCTTCTCTTTGAGTGTGTCCCAAGAGGAGTATATCCTTCTTCTCTGCCAGGGGTGAACCCTTACTGGTAGTTCCCGGAGCCCCACTCACACCCCTGACCATAGGAGCGACATCATTCCTGGCCAGATAAATCTTTAAAGGGGCTCCCTGCTTGTCTGAGCCAATGTGGAGCCCGCACATTACTGTGCAGCCTCCCCCTGGGTTCTTGACTCCGTTTCCCTTCCCTCTGTGTCTAGGTTCCGGCCCCTTTCCCGCAGACCCACAGTAACCTCACACCTGTTCTTCTCGCCCCTTCCCTCATTCTTCCCTCACTCTGTCGGGAAGCCAGGTACAGCTCAAAGTGTGACTCCCCTCGGAAAGTCTGCCATCTCATTTAGCTCCAAGTGTCAAGCTATAGGTTGGAGTTCCCAGTGAGGAATTCCTGGTACACCTAGAGCATAGAGAAGAGCTTGCAGAGACTGGAGCTTCTCAGGGATCCATAAGTCTCAGAGCAATCTCCTCCCTGGCTTTGAATAAAACTCCCTGGAAAGGCCTCTGGCAATCAACATTGTGTCATCAATTAAACCCAAGCCTGAGACTATTCTCCATTCAACTATAGTTTAAAACTTCCATTGTGACTTCTGCGATTAAAGATCTTCCCTAATTTCTCCCTTCCATGTGGCCTCTCAATAAAGGCCTTCTCCCTGGCTCTCTCTAGAAGACACTAGGCCCCCTCCCCCCTTCACACCCTGGTAATGGCTCCCCAGGGCTTTCCCAGTCCCCTCCACACCCCACCAGCCCAGCTGGGCCCAGTGCTCCCTGAGCCTAACTTCAAGTCACTTTGTTGACCTAGAGTCTAGAATTAAGTTTAAGTCATTTTATAGAGCTACGCTGATGTCTGACCAGCCCTTGGTCTTGTCCAGGGTTCCTGTTTGTTGAGTCTGGATTCTTTACTTGGCTCTATGTCCAATTTTCCTTTGGGTTTACTAACTTAGATTACATCTAAATTAAAATCTTACTCTCAGGCCTGAGCTTTTTGTTTTTCCTTCTTCTCTGGCAGGCCTCTGGTCTCCTACTTCCATTTTGTTAGAGGCACAGTTAACTTTGTCCTTAAGGCCACTTGCAGAGACGCCCAGACCCCAGCCACTGGACAGGCTGGCATGTGAGTGACACCACGGAGCTCGCACCCCAAACCTCCCCTCTGGTCTACCACCCCTACAGCCTGGCTCAGCACAGTGGGCCCCAGAGCTGCAGTGGGACGGGCAGGAGTGGAGGTGATGTTAGCAAAGAAAAGAGGTGAACCTAAATCCAGCCAGGCCCAAGCTGTGTGCTGCCCAACACAAACCACAAAATCACAGGAGGAAGCAAATGAGGACTGCTAACAAGGACGGCCAAGGTCCTGTGCTCTGGCCTAGCTGAGGCCTGTCGTGCCATTCCCGAGAGTTACGCACACACAGTTCATACCTAGGAACCCAGCACTATCAATAAGGCTCACCCCAAACCTGCCTGGACACAATGGGATTCTTCTCTGATCTTTCACAAAGCACAAGAATGTCTTTTCCATACTTGGAGGGGGAGATGGGAGGGTTCATCTGACAGAATGCAGGGTGACAGAGGGTCCTCCCCGCCTGGGACCCCAGCTCTACCACTCTGGGGCCCCTGCCCAATAGCCTCTGAACTTTTACAGCCATCTGGCCAGTCAGTTGGCCAGCCAGGTTCTCAGTCTGAATGAGTGTCTCACTGGGCTAAAAACCAGCAGAATTAAAATATTCTCCCCCCTCTCCTCTCATCACACACACTCTCCCAATCCCCTTCTGGTGAAAGTCTGCTGCCAGGACGTGGTCTCCGCTGTCCAAGTCAGGCCCAACTCCTAGCTCTGCCCTGTCCAACCTCTGAGCTCCAGGTGCCCTCTGACTGGCCCCACCACAGCAGGCCAAAGAATCTGGATGGAAACGCACGCACGCTGAGGTTGGAGAGAAGGCAGAGGGGGAGTGGGGCAGGGGCGGGGTGAGGGGAGCTCTGAGATGGGAAAAGTCTGCCAATTTTCTAAAGAAATGGCCTCTTACAGGTTAGGCCTCTCCATCGGCTCCCACCAGCACAGTCTTTCTCAAATGTCTCAACTTCCCATTCTGTGCCATTTCCACATAATGACTATGACTATTATTTTGTTAACATGTTTCTTTCAACGGACTCACTTAAAAACTTAAACCCATTTATTTATAAAGAAATCTTATGTCACTACCATACATGGAAGGTTAGGCTTGTTTGTCATTTTTGAGCAAATAAACAAATCTCTGTTAAAGCGTTCTTCTGCATCCTGTATACATTATCATCTTGGTTACTGCTAGAGGTGACATTTTTCTGACAGCAAACACTTAGGGCCTAAGAGACTCTTTATTGGGGAGAGTCTTGGCCACCTCCTGCCCTTGTCATTTTGGCTCTGAAGCGTGTCCCCCAATCATCCTTTTTGGGGATGCCTTCCCTCCCTCCAGCAGTCTGTCTGGGCACCCGATGCCTGCCGTGCGGGTTCCCGCCTCCACCTAGTGTCTGCTCTGGATCCTGCCACCGCGGGCCCAACTTACAATTCGAGGCTTGAAGGGCGGCTTGATCTTCTTCTGCTCCAGAAGCACCCAGTCGATCTCCTTGAAGAACGGGTGCTGCTTGATGGCGTCCTCACCATTCTGCGCCGCCACGCAGCCCAGGCGCTTGTGGGGGTTCTTGGTCATAAACTGCAGGTGTGCAGAGAGAGAAAGAATTAGTGTCGAAGCCTGGCAGGCACAGGCTGGGAGGGCAAGATGCTGACCAAACCCACCAGCCAAGGTGGCACCCTCAGCATCACCTCCCAAGTCTGCTTTCTGCCCTTTCAGAGGCTTCACCCTGAGGGTCTCCTTTAACTCTCATCTAGGATCTACTTTAGAGCTCGGCTGCTAACTAAAAGGCCTGCAGTTCAAATCCACCAGTCACTTCTTGGAATCTATATAGGACAGTTCTGCTCTGTCCTATAGGGTCTCTATGAGTTGGAATCGTCTCGATGGCAACGGGTTCGATGGGTTTAGTCACCATTCTAAGCATTTCATATACATTAACCTATTTCATCCTCACACAATCCTATGGGGTAGGTCCTATTTCCTATTTTACAAGTGAGGTACTTGAGGCACAGAGAGGTTAATTGACTTTCCCAAGGTCACACAGCTAGGAAAGTACAAAAGTAGGATCAGGAACTCAAGTTCTTACTAATTTCCCTGAAAACCTTCAGTTTCTCAAATCTTGAGAGAGGAGACTAGGGTTTGATAAACTCATTTACACTGATGGGTCAAAAGACCTTTCTGTGGTAAGGGAAGAGGATTAGGTGTTCACGTGGAGTAAATTACCAAACCACCCCCTGCCCGTCCTTTATTCCTGGGTATGTATTTGCAATCTGCGGCATGAAGTGTACATGTAGGTCAATAGGTAAAAAGAAACAAAAGCAAAACAAAACAAAAAAATAAAAACAAAGAAAAAGAAAAGTTTATTGCTTCTCAATGTTTATATTTAAAAAATCACGCTGATGTGTTTTATATTTTTTGAGTGGTGTCCTGTGGCCCTGCCCTCCCAAGCAAATTTATTATTCCAATTAAATGAGTCAGTCCTAACGGTAAACATTCATTTGATTGAGCAAATATATACCCATATAATCTTGAAAAAAAAAAAAAAAAGTGCCGGTAGGTGGAAATATTTCTGACAGCCAACCAAAATAAAGGGGTGTGTATGTGTGTGTAAGTGTTTGTGTGTGTATTAGAGACAAAGTGTTCTATGTCATGGGGTGAAGATTGAGCGTCTGCATTCTACCAAAGGAACTTGACAGGACAAAATGCAATCCAAAGGAACAAATATATAATGGTGGAATTTCAGACTTCATCAGCAAGGGAGAATTTTTTGTCTTTTGCCTGGTGCCCATGAAACTGAAGCACAGGGGCACAGGCTAAATACCACCGCAGCAGCGGGAGCCACAGAGGAGAACGCAAGGGTGGTGGGTAAATGCAAGCCAGGAGCGGTACCCGTGCACTCCATCTTTCTACTCTGTAAGTTGGTACAGGTCAACCCTGCTTAAACACCTCAGATGGCTTCCTCTGGCCCACAGGATAGAGTCTATACTCCTTAACATGGCACATGGGAACTTCTTAGTCTAAATCCAATCTACCTTGCTGGCCTTTTGCATCCTTTATTGTGTCTGGCTGGAATATCACTCCCCAGTTCCTGCCGATTCTCCAAGAACCGGTTAAAATGCTCCTCCTCTGTGAAGCATCACTGGATTTCCCCTCTGATGATACAGGCACCCCAGGTTCCCTGTTTATTTAAATTATAATTTGTCTTAACATCTCTTTCCTTCAGTGGATGGTAAGCTCTATGACACAGAAGCCAGTCCTATCGTCCCAGCACCTGCTTCGGTGCCTGGCTCCTTTTAGGTACTCAGTAAACTTTAATGACCGAATAGAGTGCTGAAGGCTGGGTCTCCAGGCACAGTGCTGAGGGAGGAAGGCATCAGGACTGTCATTTACTGTTGCATAGGTTGTACACTGCCCAACTCTGTGATGCGAACGCCCCCTCTAGAGTTCTGCAGCACCTTCACATAGGCAGTAGCCCGAGAGACCAGCTCAGGGGCCAGAGTTATGGAAAGCCCGGTCTGGCCCTAGCATCAACTGCATGACAATGTGAGGAAGTGAAGTGTTCCAAGGCCAAGGGAGTGGAAGACTCCTCCTCACTTCCTCAGCTCTTCCTGCCCTCCCTCTTCTGGGAGGGGGATTATCAGAGCTAGGGATAAACAGACAGGTTTTAACACCTCAGGAAGCTGCTCCTGCCCAGCCAGATGTTCTTCTCACAGGGTGCCCTCACCCCCACCAACCAATTAACATGGGTATAACCTCTAACTTTCTGAATCTCTGTAGGTCAGAGTGTCTCAGCCTTGGTGCTATTGACAGTTGGGGCCGGATAATTCTTTGTTGTGGGGAGTTGCCCTGTGCATTATAGGATGTAGAGCAGCATCCTGGTCTTTGATCGCTAGATGCCAATAACAACAGCTCCCTCCTTCCCTGAGTTGTGACAACCAAAAATGTCTCCAGAAATTGCCAAATGTTTCTTGGGATGCGGGGGGCAAACTGGCCTGTAGTTGACAACCAGTGCTCTACATCATCCAAACACGAAATGGCTCAGCTGGCATGCTGGCAGGGGGAATCGCAGAAGGGGTTCAGGGCTTGGAACAAGTTAGCTGCTCTGCCATGCCCGCCCATTGCTCTGGCTGCTCAACAAGTTTGTCCTAAGCTGTTCAACTAGGCAGTTGGAAGACATGACTTGGGAAAAGATGGGGCTCAGGAAATTAAAGGAGGCAAAGGCTCCCATCTCCACCTCAAGTCAATTATCAGTGAGTGTTCTCTGCTGTCTTTTCAGAGATGCCTCCACAGTGCAGCTCCAAAGTGCAAGAACAGATAGATCAAATGAACACAAGTCCTGTCTGACCCTCTGGGCTATCTAGCTGTCAGTCAGAATCAAACCCCACTTCTTCTCTTGGAATCCACATGACGAAACCTCCCTTCAGTCAGGTTTCTGCTTTAATGTCACCTTATTGGAGAGGCCTTCCTCAACACAATCACACTCCTCTCTCTCCCTCAGCATGGGGAGGACGTGGAGCGAGGGATCTCATTGCTGTTGTCAGATGGATCTTGGTTGAAAGCAGAAATACCAGAAAGAAGTTTAACTGTGTTTTATCAACTACATGAAGGCATTCAACTGTGTGGATCATAACCAATTATGAATAATATTGTGAAGAATGAGAATTCTAGAATAATTATACTCCGTGGTTTCTTATACCCGTATAAGGCAGTTGTTCATACAGAACAAGGGGATACTGTGTGGTTCCAAATTAGAAAAGGTGTGTCATTGGGTCATATTCTTTCACCTTACTTATTCTATCTGTATGCAGAAAAAAAAATACGGGAAGCCAGACTAGATGCAGAAGAATGTGGCGTCAGTATTGGAGGAAGACTCATTAATAACCTGTGCTATGCAGATGATACAACCTTGTTTGCTGAAAATGAAGACACCTGGAAGCACTTACTGATGAAGGTCAAAGACTATAGCCTTTAGTATGGATTACCTCTGAATGGGAAGAAAATGAAAATCCTTACAACTGGATCGATAAACAACATCATGGTGAATAGAGAAGAAATTGAAGTTGTCAATAATTTCATTCTGCTTGAATCAACAATCAACACTCATGGAAGCAGCAGCCAAGAAATCAAATGACATATTGCATTGGCCAGATGTGCTACAAAAGACCTCCTTAAAGTTTTAAAAAGCAAAGGTGTCACTTTGATGACTAAAGTGCACCTGACTCAAGCCATGGTCTTTTTGATCACTTTACATACATGACAAAGTTGGATAATGACAAAGGAAGACAGGAGAAGAACTGATACTTTTGAACTTTGGCATTGGCAAAGAATATTGACTATACTGTGGACTGCCAAAAGAACAAACAAATCAGTCTTAGAAGAAATACAACCAGAATGTTCTTTAGAAGCAAGGGTAGTGAGACTTTGACTTGCTTACTTTGGACATGTCATCAGGAAAGACCAATCTCTAGAAAAAGACATCATGTTTGGTAAAGCAGAGGGTCAGCAAAGACAAGGGGAATCCTCAATGACATGGACTGACACAATGCTGCAACAATGGGCTCAAACATACCAACTACCATGAAGATGGCGCATGACAGGACAACATTTCGTTCTGATATACACAAGGTTGCCATGAGTTGGATCTGACTTGATATCAGTTAACTACAACAACAACTTTACCCTCACCTGCCACCCTGTCACTCTTTGTCCCCTTATCCCACCTCATGTTTCTTTATAACACTCTTTATCACTTAGTACAATATACAGTTCTTTGTCTATTCATTTATTCGCTAGACTGTGTCACAAAAGCTTGGACTTTGTGCACTACACTGCCAACACCTGGCTTGGTGCCTGGCACATACTAGATGCTCAATAAATATTTGTTGAATAAATGAATCAGTGAATAGACACAGTCTATTTGCTTCCTTCATTGCGCTATGTACAGATGTATTTTTTATTTATTGGCCTTCTCCTCCCACTGGATTATAGCTCCACAGAGCAGGGACCATGGCTGTTATATTTACCAATACTTAGCATCTAGTATAATGCAGGTTCATTGGAAACAATAAATAGTAGTTCATAGAATTAATGAAGGGGAGAGAGGGAAACAGAGACAGAGAGAAGTAGATGAGGAAGAAAAAGAGGGAATGAGGTAATGGAAAGAGGGAAGGAAGGAGAAAAAAAAAGAACAACAGAAAAGAGTAAGATGTTCTCATGTGGCATTTTCCAAAATGCGGTATGTGTGCCACCAGGTATCCACAAAATGAGTTTAGGTCATTAAAACACCTTCATATGATGATTGATGTTATTTAGTTATGGCAAGTGATACAGATTTTCTAGCTATGATAGTGACAAAAAGTTCCTTGTAAAGTACATATTATTAGGTAAATATTGGCAGTCAATTAGAAAATAGAAAAAGTAAATAATGGTACAGAGGGCACTCGAAAATGGCAAATGTTATGAATGTGGCATGCAAACTACTGAAGCCTAGGGAATTCTGGTGGGTGAAAGAAGCCAGGACTAGAAGTCAAGGTTCCTGGTTGTCACCTGGTCCTGCCTCAACCTAGTGGGGTGGCCTTGGACAAACCAGTCTATTTCCTTCCCTGCCTATCACCTTTCACATCTTTCAAAAGGGGAGAGAGAACATCATTTACTTGATGCAGTTGGTGCCAGCACATTGTAGAAACAGCTGTGTTTAGAAAGATTAAGCATTTTCACATGTGAGGGATTATTAGTAAGGGCAGTCTCTATTACATGTCTGAGTCCAGCATGGCTGCTTATATCTTGAGTGGACACCTCTCTTCTGATGAGCCACAGTGATGTTATTAAGGACACAGAGCCCTCCCCTCTTTCCTTCCTCTTTCCGCCCATCACAGGCCCTGGAGTGATGACAGGCCACTGGGTGGCAGGTAAGGAAGGAGGCTTAGCCCCAGAGTGTCAGTGATAGGGTTATGACAATGCCGTTCGGGTGGGCTCTGCTCCCTCGGAGACACAGAGGACACAGACCCACACGTGCCCCATCCCAGAAAACACATACTGTCCCTCTCCCACAAGAAGAACAGTTGATCCCAGGCCCCATTCTCTTGGAAGCAGCCCTCTGAACTATATCTGGATTCCCTGGGTGACTGCCCTTGACTCCTCACATTCAGTGGTCAGAAGAACACAACAGTGAGAGTGGGGAAAGAGAGTGCCGGAGAGAGAAGGGAGAAAGGACGAGTGTAGAAGGAGAGATGGAAGGAGGGAGGGACAGGAGGACAGAGTATCAAGAAAGAGACAGACATGGTAGAGGGCCAGGGGACTCACCGCTTTCAAGATGCTGACAGCCTCCTTGCTGAGCCAGACCGGGTAGAGCACGTCATCGTGGAGGATGGACTCAAAGAGGTCGTCCTCATTGTCAGCCTCAAAAGGGGGCTGCCCAGCCATCATCTCATACATTAGCACCCCCAGGGCCCACCAGTCCACCGAAGGGCCATACTCCAACTCTTGTAAGATCTGTTCAGGAAACAGCACTGTTAGAGGAGGTGAAGTCAGGGGGAAAGGGCAGCAATGTGTGTGAGGACCCATTGAAGACTCCACCAAAGACCCCACCATAGACCCCATCAAAGACTTTACCATAGGCCCCACTGTAGACCCCACCAAAGACCCCACCATAGACCCCATCAAAGGCCCCACCATAGACTCCCCACCATAGATCCCACCGTAGACCGCCCCCACCAGCAATGCCTGTGCCAAGTGCCCATGGAAGGAGCTGTAAGCCCAATCTTCTCCTCTCCAATTCGCTCCTAGCACAGAGCACAGCCCCATGTTATAGAAAATTAGGTTCTAAATCAGCAAATTCAGTGAAAATTGACTTGGGGAGGTGCTATACTGGAGGACAACTACAATAAGTCAACCATCTGTTCTCCAGTGGGAAGAAATTACTGTTTCTTTATATAAGTATCAGATGAAGTTCCTGACTTGCATTTAGGGCCAAGTTAAAAAATAACATATTTTTTTAACACTAAAATGAGAGTCAGGGGAGCAAGACACAGACTAAGAGAGACATGAGCAAGTTGAAAGTAAAGGAGGGTGAAGCAAGTTCCTGTCTTCCACCTCACATTCAGTCCAGAGTGTGCTTGCTGAGTGGAAAGGAGAGCAGAACTGCAGCCTTATTTAAATGATGACCATAGTGAACTTTATTCAAGCCCTGTGCTCCCAGAAACAAATGTTGGTTACGAACATTCTCTTCCTTTTCTGTTCTAACCGCAAAAGACCCCTGTGCCATGGCCTATGGGGTAAGATCCACCTCTACCCCTCCTCAATGTCTCAGAGATAAGACCCACCTCCATTTTCCTCATGACTCTGCTATGACTCGCTGTTCACCTCCTCTATGAAGCCCCAGACCCCCTTCCTTCCTTTGAGACCTTCCTCATTAATAAACCTTCTCCCTGAATAAATCAATCTCCTTAATTTCCTATGCATTCTGTCTTTGACACTGGTCACTTCTCCTATCCATGCTCTCTTTGTCTCTCTCTTTTTTTCCTCTGGTCAAATATGTAAAGTTGAATTTACTTAAGTTAAATACATGTATGACATGATGCTACTGATCATGTATGCCACGAGCTTCCTGCAGAATGGACAGAAGTTTTACAAACTGTATCATAGTTTTAATGGATGAGAGGAATTCTACCTGAAGTCACGATGCTGCAGAACCTTCTGAAAAGCAAGGAACTGCCCCTATTCTAACTTTTCTGGAACACACACTGGCCATATGTTAGAGGAGAAGGAGGTAGAAGATCAGCCAAAGTATTTACATTCCATCCTGCAGCTGATGTTTAATTTTCTGAGTGATCTTAAGCTAGTCATTGACTTGCTCATTTATCACATGGGGCTCAGATTCTCAATTTAATCTCATAAGATTAATTAAAGTGGAAGGTTTTAAAAAATACTGCAAAATACAAAGCTCTATACAATTGGAAGGTGGTATTAAGTCCAAGCTTTCCTCTGTTAAGTCTAGTCTCCATGTATATATAATATACAGCAGGCCAATGATGTATGTTTGACTCAGAAGAGAAGTAAATGCTGAGCTGTCTCCATGGCTAAGAAAGGTATCATGAAGTGATGTTCCCATCCCTTGATCTTCTCTTCTTATCAGTCAGAACAGTGTTAGGCATGGTCCTGCCCGGAAACAGGTGGGTATCGGAGATGACCTCTCTAGATTGCTCCCAGCTCTATGTATCTACAAAAAGTTCCATAAAGTGAAGTATATAGGAGAAGCGAGGCTGGAGTGCATGTCCTAAAAGAGGGTACACTGCAAAGGCCCTGAAAAAAAGGGCAAAGTCTGCGTCTGATTGTTCTAGCTCCCACAGAACACCTCAGTCAGGATAACTTCTCAGGGCCAAGACAGATAACCAGTTCAGTTCTCAAATTTCAAGATGGCCAGAGAAGAGGAGGCTGATCTTGAGCATCTGGTCCTTCTGTGGTTTACTCAAAATACCCTTCTAGAGATTACAAATTGCTTGGGGTAAATAAAAAGACTTGGGTAGAAGCATCTTGAAAACAGTAAAAACAATGCATGTTTTGCAATCTTCCAAATTTGGAATGAAAAGGAAGGTAAGAAAATACAGCAAAAGACCTTTTTAAAGTGTTAAAAAGCAAAGATGTCACTCGGAGGACTAAGGTGCACTTGACCCAATCTATGGTATCTTCAATCGCTTCATATGCAGGCGAAAGCTGGACAATGAATAAGGAAGACCAAAGAATTGATGTCTTTGAATTATGGGTGTTGGTGAAGAATATTGAATATACCATAGACGTCTAGAGGAATAAACACATCTGTCTTGGAAGAAGTACAGCCAGAATGCTCCTTAGAAACCAGGATGGCGAGACTTCGTCTCACTTACTTTGGACATGTTATTAGGAGGGACCAGTCCCTGGAGAAGGACATCATGCTTGGTAACATAGAGGGTCAGCAAAAAGGAGGAAGACCCTCAATGAGATGGATTGACACAGAAACAGCAACAAAGGGCTCAAACATAAGAATGATTGTGAGGATGGCACGGACTGTGCAGCATTTCGTTCTATTGTTCACAGGGTCGCTGTGAGTCGGAACTGACTTGATGGCACCTAACAACAATAACAATCTGCTTGGTTAGTACCAGTGCTCTCAGCCCAGTGGTGAGCACATGGTGTCTGAAATGTCAGAGCTATAGGCTCCATTATCCTGAGACATCAGTAATTCTTCTCTATTCCACAGTCAAAGCCAGCTCCTTCCCCAACCTTGAAAGATCTAGCACTCCAAGCTAGACGAGCATGGTTACCATTAGCTTCCATCCTTCAAGGTCCTAGATTTCATGGATTTCACCAGCCATGGTACTTTTTCTCCCAACCTCTAAAATCTTAGGACCCTTGCCTGTTCCTAAGATTTATGGGTGCTTTCCACATGCTACCATACTTTTAGCTATCTTTTCATGTTCATCTGACTCCTCAGAGTATCTATAAATCACCAGAGGATAGGGGCTATAGCATTCTTCTGAGCCCACCACTGTGCCAAACCCAATTACAAACACTCAGGAGACAGCCAGCCTTTTGTGACTGGCTGTCGTGTGTGTATGTCTTACTGAGCATGTTCCCTTCCCTCTTGAGCTCAGCGGACGCTGGGCACTAAGGTGGCCACCCTCCACCTTGGGCAGGTGGGGCAGCCTGGGTTCTGTGCCTCCATGCCGTGGGAGGAGAGTGGCCTCCAGGTGGCCTTCTGCATGCACATGGTGCTGTGGAAACCACAGAGCAGCCCTGCCCACCTTCCCCCTAGGCCCCCTCCCGAGCCTTCTGGTTTTGGGCGGCATCTTTTGTCAACTTCCTTTTAGGCTTGGCCCTAATTATCTGCTTCCTAATCACCTCTGCAGCGATGGAGCTGGTGAGAAGGGCAAGGCTTCACATGCCATGGGAGGGCACCTGGTGTGGCAGCCAACACCTTGAGAGGGTCACAGCCAGGCTAAGAGCAAATTGGCAGCCATTGGGCCTGATGACAAGGGACACTAACCCAGGGCCAGATCACATCCTGGGAAGTAGGGGCTGGGTGTGGAGGAAGGAGAGGGGTGTGATGGGGGCTGGCTAGAGGGCACATGGTGGGAAGAGAATCACTAGGGCAGAGCTAATGCCTCAGAAGGTGTCTCTCATTTCAGGGTTAGTCGTTGCCTCACCACCCCTCCTATTTGAATAGAGGGTTATGCTTTCTGAAGCATTTCCATGCTATAATCTCATTAGATTCTCAAAAGAGCTTGATGTGGTGGATAAGGTAGAAGTTATTCTTATTATTCCCATTTGAAAGATAAGGAACCTGAGGCTCAAGAATGTTCCGTGACTTGATCAAGGTCCCGTGGAGACATTCGGGGCCAAGTGTGACCTCATCTCAACTCTCAACTTTCAGGCTGTGCTTCTCCCCACTGCACAGCCTAACAACTATGGTGAGGATGACGAGAGCCACAGTCATCCAGCACTTGCTGTGGGCCGGGCACTGTGCTCAGTGCGTTAGGGGCATAATTTCATTTAATCTTCCCAATGGCCCTTGACAAAGGCAGCTACACCTTTATCAGCTGTGATTTGCCTACAGTATGACCAGAAATGGTTTGCCATTTCAAGTGCAGTGGCGTTGGAGGATGGGGTGGCAACAGGAGAGTGACTGCATCTAGTTATAAACAGAAATCAGAGTTGTTCATTGTGAGTTTCACCAATGGGTTGCTGTTCATGAAAGTTGTATGGGTGGGGTTGTGTTCATCATAAAGTGAATGTTTGCCTTGGGCTGGGTTTTTAATGACTGCACTAGACTGTCAACCCTGTGACAGCTCACATAGGGGCCAGAACTGAGTGTTCTGGTGATAAAAATGAATGAGGAGGATGATGAGAAAAACAGGTCTCAATTGAGAGACGTAGCTTTCATTCTGTTCTCCTCAAAGGTTGAATTCCTAGCGTTCCTGCTAAAGGAACACACTACTAGAGATGGATTCAAGTCACCATAGATTTCTTCGAAGATAAAATTTCTAAAGAGAAGTTACCTATTACTCAGCTTGTCCACTTCTATCACCCTCCTAGCACCTTCCCATGCCTCATCTGGTCTGTGAAAACCAACTCAACTGGCTTCCCTCCCCTAATTCTCTGCCTTCCCAGTCACACTGCCATTACCTGTCTTATTCCTGGGGCAGGTCTGATTATGTCCCTCTTCCACTGAGACACCCTTAGTGGGTCCACAGATCCTACAGGATGAAGGCCACATTCTTTGGGGGATTCTTCTTGATCCTAATCTCATTCCTTCTATGAGCACAGTTGTTAGTTGCCGTTGAGTGAGCTCTGACTCACGATGACCAAGTACCACAGAAGGAAACATTGCCCTGTCCTGTGCCATTCCCATAATCATTGGTGTGTTGGAAGCCATTGTTGTGGATATTGTGTAGTGCCTTCCAACCTAGAAGGCTCATCTCCCAACACTATTCTGTCATGATCCATAGGGTTTTCACTGGCTAATTTTAGGAAGCAGATCACCAGGACTTTCTTCCAGTCTGTCTTAGTCTGGAAGCTCCCCTGGAACCTGTCCACCATGGGTGACTTGGTATTTGAAATACTCAGCAGCAGAGCTTCCAGCATCACAGCAGCATGCAAGCCATCATGGTACAACAAGCCCTATATTCTAACCACACTATTTACCTTCCCTGAACAAGGCCCCAAATTCTTCTCACCGTTGGCCTTTGCTTGTTGGAATCCAACAGAGTTCTCATTCGTTCATTTAGCATATCATTACAAAGAGCCTGATTCCTGTGCTGGACCTTGGCAGTACCCAGATTAGAAGCACAGGCCTTGCCCCCACAGGATTCAGGGCCCAGGGATTCGGGACCTCCGTCCCCACTCCAATCCTCCCTGTGTTGCTTCAGAAAGGTCTTTTCCACCCCTCCCACCAATGTAAATCCTGCTTATTTACAACTCAGTTCATCCAACAGGTACTCCAAGATGTCTTTTCTGACCCCGGGGGGTACCATCTTGTTTTATGCACCTCATTATTCTGCTTAATTAGTTCTTTGCTCATCTGTCACTCTCTCTGGACCAAAAGTTCCTTTAAAAATTCCTAGGACCAGTGTTTTAGTCAAGTCTTTATCCACCACATTGCTTTGTGTCTAGCAGGTGCTCAAACAGTGCCCATTAAAAGAAAATTAAATGTCATTGTGCTAACACCTATCCACCATGGGCAGTATCTGATAGAAATTGCTACTTCCGTCCCAGCTTACTATGTGGCAGAACCCTCAAGACCATTTTTACTAAGTATCTACTATAGACCATGCTTTAAATCTGAATCATATCACAGTAGGTATTGCTCAGTTTGAGCAGGATTGGCCTGGAGGAGCCCAAGGCAAACAAACATTTCATAATGAGCAAAAGGTCCACACAACTTTTATGAAAGGCAACCCATTGGCAAGATTCACAACGAACATCTCTGATCTTTGTTTATGATGAGACGCAGTCACTTTCCTGTTCCCACCCCATCCTTCATGCTCACTATGTGGAATCGTCACGATGCTGGAAATGGCAGATCATCCCTGGTCTTATTGTAGGAAAATTACAGTTGATAAAATTAATTGCTGTCTTTATCAGTGGTGCTTGTTTATTCTGGTTATTTGGAAGCAAAAACAATACAAGTCAACACATGTCTCTTGGTCCCAGTTTTATTGTTGGTTCTGGACTAGGACAGGAGAGCAATGTTCAGTGAGGACCTGGCCAGATTTGGCTTGTTATTCTCGGTTCACCTATCACCACTACCACCACCACCACTTCCTTATGGAGAAATCAGAAGCCCTCTTGTCTTTCCTCTTCTCCCCCCCCACCTCTATAATCCATCCTGGTTTTCCGGAGCCTTCTGCAACCACCACTAGACACCCCAGTGCAGGAAGATGGACCCATACATCAGTCCTGGCACCAGCAAGAGGTGGCCCTTTGGACCAGGTCTTACCTCGGGGGCTATGTAGTCAGGAGTCCCACAGAACGTGGTGGTTGTCACACCATTCAGAATCCCTTCCTTGCACATCCCAAAGTCAGCCAGCTTGCAGTGACCTTCTGCATCTAGAAGGATGTTGTCCAGTTTCAAATCCCTGCAAGACAGGCCAGAAGCATATGGTTAATGCCTCACTCACCCCAATATGGTTTTCTTCAGTTGGAGAAATATGCATATTCCAGGGAAATCTGCTCCAGAGAAGAAAATCCTTGAGGAGACTTGGACCTGCAGCAACCAACCAAAGTACAGATTTCTCCCATGTTGGCCAACCCCCAAAGACGGCTCCATTCTCCCCAGCGTGAGGGAGGAGCTTCAGTACCCCAGGAGTATATCAAGAGCATATGCTTCAGTTTAATTAAGTCAGTAGCTATTTACTGAGACCCTCCTATGTCCAAGAATTCATATTAATTAGACGCTGATAGAGAAAAGGAAGTGACTTATTCCCTCCCTACTTTCATGAGTTAACAATGGGGATCAGCTAAGGGGACAAGTCTGACACATTTAACATCAATGAATCAGATAAAGCCACATAAGGGTCAGGTGCTAATTGATTAGGCACTGATGATGTGAGCTGTTGCATTTCAGTGAGGGAGACCACTGGAGTCTGGTACAGGCAGTGTGGGCTCCCAGGAAACAGTGACTCTCAAGAGAAGCTTGGAGAGAAGGTGACGTTTAGATAGGCTACAAAGTGAGAGGGTGGGAGGGAAGGGAAGGCAACAAAGCAGATGCAAAAGAGACCACGGAATCGGATCCCACTGAACAGTGAGGCAAGAGAGGTGCTAAAGCAATAAAGAGCCTAAAAGGCCAAGGTAAAACCCAAAAACCAAACCTGTTTCCATCGAGTCAACTCAGACTCATAGCGACCCTACAGGACAGGGTAGAACTGGCCCACCGGGTTTCCAAGGAGCAGTTAGTGGATTCGAATGGCCAGCCTTTTGGTTAGCAGCCAAGCTCTTAACCACTGCACCACCAGAGCTCCAGAATGCCAAGGTGAGGGGTTAAGAATTCATGCTGAGGGCAATGGGAGCCCTGCTTGCATGAGCATGATTCGTTTGGAAGCTAAGTCTACTAGGGGCCAGCAGGCTGGGTCAGGGAAGGTTCTGGTGGCAGGAAGAAAGATACATTGGTTGCAATAACCTGGACCTGCTGAGCCCTGATATCTCTATGTTGTACCTGACGGTCATGGGGCTCCCGGCCTCAACCAATACAACTTCACTGTGGCCCGTTTTGCAGTTTGGGGGTCTGCATAAGATCTTGTGTAAAATCTAGGGTTCTGGATAAGAATTCCCCTACCAGCCAAGTCTGGACACCCCAGATCTAGCCCTGCAGAAGGACCCAGACTGTGTAGATGGAGGTCCCCTGCCTGGGCCTGCTTCTCCCTCAGCAGCCATTCCAGGGTGGAGGGCCTTGCAAAGAAGGCCCCATTCCCTTGCGCTCAGAAGAAGGGGGCCTTTCTCCCAAGCCTGCTGGCATCTGGACTTGAAATCCAACTACGTCAGGACTCCAGGCCCAAGTGCAAAGTTGGGGCAGGAAGCACTTTAGGACCTGGTGGCCTTGCACCCGTGACCTTGCTTCCGCTTACAGCTGGGACTTCTTGAGAAAAAGAAAGCACATAAAAAGTGCTGCTCTAAGCAAATGCTTGTAAACTATAGAAAGAACAGTACGCCCAACCAAGTCTAGCTCCCTGGGGCCAGGGCTGCCAGATTCCCAACTCTGGCCACTGTGTGTGGTCAAGGCTCAGCTCTGGCTGGGATGGGACAGCTGGGAGATGACACAGGAGGCTGGCTGTCAATCACTAGCTGTTCCATGACATTGCTTGCAATCCTTGCAATGTGTCAGCATTCTCCCCATTACCACCCTGAGTTCCCCATTTCCATTCGTCTGGTTTTCCTGCCCCTTCCTGTCTCCTCATCTTTGCTTTTGGGCAGATGTTGTCCTTTTGGTCTCATATAGCTGATAGTTCTAAGAGCACATTCCTCACGTGTGTTATTGTTTATTTTATAGGCCTATTATTTGGCTAAAATGTGATCTCTGCGAGTAGCTTCAGTTCCAAGTTAGAAGGGTGTCTAAGGGCCATAGTCTCGGGAGTTCCTCTAGTCTCTCTCAGACCCGTAAACCTGGTCTTTTTTTATGAATTTGAATTTGGTCTACTTTTTTTCCCCCCACTCTAACAGGAACATTCTACTGTGTCCTGGTCAGAGCAGTTGGCAGTGGTAGCCGGGCACCATCTAGTTCTTCTAGTCTTAGGCTAGTGGAGGCTGTGGTTTCTGTGGTCCATTTGTCCTTTGGACTAATTGTATCCTCAAGTCTTTGGTTTTCTTCACTCTCCTTTGCTCTGGATGGAAAGAGGCCAACAGTTGTATCTTACATGGTCGCTAGGCTTATTTTAAGGATTAATGAGATAACGTGTGTAAAAGTGGAGGGCCTTTAATATTGTTACACCCACTTCCTTCAGGAGGAAACTGACTTGGGGGAACTGGGTGGCCTGTCTGCCTACTTACAAACGCTGGAATCAGTGGGAAGCTGACTGTGTGGGCCCTACTGGGTCATGCGCCCCTTTATGCTCTAGCCTGCAGTAACAATGGCAATAAAACTCGCAACTCACAGATTACAAAGCACATTCGTGCTCCGAAGGACACTGTGGATTCAGAAGAGCAGACCCTCCTGAGACCAGTGTAGAAATAAGGAAATGAAGGCCTGAAGAAGGTAAGAGATTTGTTTAAGGCAACAAGAGGAGTTGGTGGAACCAGAAGCAGAACTCAGGTCTCCTGCTCCCAAAGCTGGTGTTCTTGCCTCTGTATGCAACACGTCTCTGCCTTCCTGGCTTAATGTTGGTTGATGTCTTTCAATGCCGGCCACCAACCCTAACTTTACCAAGTACCCCAAATGTCCCTCAAAGCACACTCTTTTAAAGTCCTTATGTCATGGAAAGACTTGTTCTGTTCATCTTTTGCAAAGTTTAAAATCTTCTAATTTTGTACGAATGGGGTAGATTCGGAAGATTCCAAAGCCAGCCCGAACCTTGCTGCCATCTGAAAATTGCAAGTCTCGCGTTTCCGGGCACATTAGTGCACCTTTCCCTCTGCTCAGGACTCCTACTCTTTTCAGAGAAGGGCGAAAGAAGGTGGGATGTCTTGTTTCCCCCAACCCCTTGCCTCTTCTCCTGTCCTAGCACTGGCCCCAGATGCACACCATCCCTTTGCCTCCTGCCCCCTCTCCTCTCCCTGGGGGCAGAAGCCGCGCCTCACTGCAGGCAGCACACAGGCCGCTGAACGATCGCCATCAGTCACTTCCTCAGACTCCCCCTCTGCTGTCCGTGTTTAAAACTCTCACTCTCCTCATGAAACCAACTCACAACACCACCAATTGGTGACTGATGTTCCTTTCCTTTGTGACAGGAAAGATTAGGGCAGCTTGAAAGATCCCTGGAGTCCAGAAAGACCAGTTTTTGTTGTTGACTCCAACTCATAACAGAATGAAAACATTGTGGTCCTGTGCCATATTCACAATGGTTGGTATACTTGACTCCATTGTTGCGGCCAACCTGGGGGTTCTTCTTCCAGCACTATGTCAATAATGTTCTACTGTGACTTACAGAATGTTCACTGGTTGCTTTTCAGAAGTAGATCTCCAGGCCTTTCTTCCTAGTCTGTCTTAGTCTGGAAGTTCCACTGAAACTTGTCCATCATGGATGATCCTGCTGGTATTTGAAATACTGGAGAATAGCTTTCAGCATCATGACAATGAGCAACAAACACAGTATAACAGACTGACAGACGGGTGATGGAGAAAGGCTATGACCAGAACTTTATTCTTCTGGAGGTCTTCAGACTTACTAAAAAGAAAAATACTCATACCCCTGGCACCAAACTTGGCTGGTCCTAGGCCCCTCTGTGTGAAGCAGTTCATGAATGGGTTTTGGTGAACGGGAGGCCCCAGGGGAGCCCAGGGCCATGTTTGCTGGGGCAGAGAGGGAGAGAGAAGGAGGAACGGGGAGAGAGAGAGAGAGAGCGAGAGAGAGAGCGAGAGGGAGGGAGAGGGAGAGATAGAGAGGAAGAAGAAGAGATTGGAAGAGGGAGAGAGGGAGACAGTGTGTGTGTGTCTGACAAAGGCTGCTGAAAGGGGAGGGTGGTACCACTGACATTCTGCTGGCTCCCTAGCTGGCTGAGGGTTGTGCAATGCTGTTCCCTTGTTTTCCCTCTCTTCCAGCACTGTCATCCGGGGCCCCTAACTTTCCACTTCCTATTCCTGCCCCAGGATTCTCCCACCTGTTGGCTATTATTATTATTTTTTAAACAAAAATTAATTTTGGTAGACTAAAATTCAGCCGTGTAAACAAACGATCGTAATGGAAACTCTGGTACACTGTAACTTAAGCAGCTCCTACACCAAAGACACCAAATTCAAGGGCAGAAAATGGCTGCGAAGGGTTTAATTTATGCCTTTTGACACCACATTCACTGGTTTCCGCAAGCGGATGGGTAAACCAAAGGTCAACACTTGTTGGCTTTCAGTGCTGCAGGAGGGGAGGCCAGGCCTCCCCGGGAAGCGGGTGGGGAATAATTGTTTCCCGGCCTCCCCTGCTCCAAGGTAGGGCTTGGAGGGCATGGTGGGTGGTCTTTTCTCCTTAGTATATATTGGAAGCAGCCTAAATGTCCCTCAATACATATGGTGGAGTATTATGCATCCTTAAAAAAGAATTAAGAGGCTCTTTGTGTGCTAAAACAGAAAAATCTCCAATATATATTTAGTAAAAATTACTCCTTCTTGTAAGTTCCCATGGTGCCCAAAGCATGGCTGAGCACATAGTAGGTGTTCATCAGACTTGTTGACTCACAGCATTGCAAAGAGGGTCTTCTGTCTAGAAATATTAGTCCCTATACACTCAGTCCTCAAATATAAGGCCAGGGCACTTTTGAGAACGGAAAACATTTTTTTTTTTTTTAATTTTGCTTTAAGTGAAAGTTTACAATTCAAGTTAGTTTCTCATACAAAAATTTTTATATACACATTGTTATGTGACCTTAGTTTCTCTCCCTATACTGTGACAGCACACTCCTCCTTTCCACCCCATATTTCCTGTGTCCATTCAACCAGCTCCTGACCTCTCTGCCTTCTCATCTCGCCTCTGGACAGGAGCTGCCCACTTAGTCTCATGTATCTACTTGAGCTAAGAAGCTCACTCTTCACAAGTATCATTTTATGTCCATAGTCCAGTCTAATCTTTGTCTGAAGAGTTGGCCTCAGGAATGGGTTTAGTTTTGGGCTAACAGAGAATCCAGGGGCCATGCTTTCTGGGGTACTTCAGTCTCAGTAAGACAATTAAGTCTAGTCTTCTTACTAGAATTTGAGTTCTGCACCCGACCTTTGTCCTGCTCCATCCGGGACTCCCTGTTGTGTTCCCCGTCAGGGTGGTCATTGGTGGTAGCCAGGCACCATCTAGTTCTTCTGGTCTCAGGCTGATGAAGTCTCTGGTTTATGTGGCCCTTTCTGTCTCTTGGGCTAATATTTTCCTTGTGTCTTTGGTGTTCTCCATTCTCCTTTGCTCCAGGTGGGTTGGGACCAATTGATGCATCTTAGATGGCCACTCACTAGCTTTTAAGACCCCAGATGCCATTGACCAAAGTGGGATGCAGAGCATTTTCTTAATAAACTTTGTTATGCCAATTGACCTAGATGCCCCCTGAAACCATGGTCCCCAGACCCCCGCCCCTGCTACGCTGTCCCTCAAAGTGTTTGGTTATATTCAGGAAACTTCTTAGCTTTTGGTTTAGTCCAGTTGTGCTGACTTCCCCTGTAGTGTGTGAGAGAACATTTTTAAGAAGTGGGGTAATCCTTTTAACAGAGAGAAAAAAACTAGCAAAATACCTATTCCTATATATAAGCCAATGTGACTAGCGTTTACTTATTCAATCTATCTATTGATAGTGTTATCAAAATTTCTTTTCAATAGGTAATGCATTCATGTGTTCAAAAACACCAAAAGCATGAAAAGGCATACAGTAAAAATTCTCCCTCCTGTACCTGTCTGCCAGACACCCTGTTTCTCTCCCTACAGGCAATTGTTTTTAATTCATTCCTTGTGTATCCTCTGGAATCCCTAGTGCAGTGGTTGAGAGCTCGGCTGCTAACCAAAAGGCTGGCAGTCTGAATCCACCAGCGACTCCTTGGAAACCCTATGGGGCAGGGAGTCTGGAATCCTTAGGTGGTGCAAATGGTTACTGTTTTCAGCTGCTAACTGAAACGCTGGAGGTTTGCGTCTACCCAGAGGCACCTCGGAAGAAAGGCCTGGTGATCTACTTCTGAAAAATCAGTCATTGAAAACCCAATGGAGCACGGTTCTACTGTGACACACATGGGGCTCGCCATGAGTCAGAGTTGGCCCCACAGCAACTAGTGTATCTTCTTGGTCCTACTTTACATATAAATAAGAAAATGTGAAAATATATTTATTTTCCCTCTTTTAACTAAGTGGGAGCACACTATATGTGCATTCTTTTGCATCTTACCTTTTCTGCTTAATACTTATTGGAGATCTTTCTACCTTAGCACACAAAGAGCCTCCTAATTCTTTCTAAGGATGCATAATACTCCACCATATTTGAGGGACATTTAGGCTGCTTCCAATATTTGCTACTGCAAACAGTGCTGCTGTGAATACCCTTGAAAACATGACGTTTGCACATATGTGAAAGTAACTGTACATTTCCTAGAAATGAAATTTCTAACTCAGAGAGTTCAAGAATGTGAATTTTGACGGATGTTGCCAAACTGCCTTACTCAAAGGTCGAACTATTTACATTTTCATCAGCAGCACACACTAGCGCTAGCTTCTCCCAACATGGCAAGTTTTTGGTAGTCTGATAGGTGAAAACAGCATTTCAGTATATTCTTAAGTTTGCAAGTTTGCATATCTTTTCCTATGTTTAAAAACGATCTTTTCTTCTGTCTGTGAACTCTGTGTTGTCCATTTTTCTTTTGTGGGTTTTTTTTTTTTATTATTATTGATTGTTGAGCAGCTTTTTATATATTAGGAAAATAAACTTTGTGCGGATAAGATTTGCAAATATTTTTCCCAGTTTGGTGTTTGACTTCTTACTTTATTTATGGTGGTTTGCCAGATTGAGATTATTTATTTTTAGGTAATTGATGTTTCAGTTTATGTTTTTTGGATTTTATATCATAATTGGAAAGGCTTTACCCATTCCAAAGTTATAAAATCGATCTCCCAAGGTGTATCTTAGTACTTTTTTATGATTTCATCTTATAGACTAAAATCTTTGGAATCTGTCCTGATGTGAGGTATAGGTCAACTTTATTTCCAGATGTCTCGTAAGTTGTCCCAATATCATATATTGAATAGTTCCTCTTTTTTGCACTGATTGGAAATGTCACCTTTATCAAATACTGGTATTATATTGCCATAGGTATTTGGATTTATTTCTGTATTCTTCATTTCATAACATTCATCTATATCACACTCTTTTAATTACTGAAGGGTTAGAATATATTTTGACATCTAGTAGGGTGGGTTCCCTTCTTCTTCCTCTTTTTCAATTTCCTGGCTAGTCTTGCCCGTTAATTTTTCCATATGAATTTTAGACTCATCTGTAAAGTTAAAAAAATTCTGGTTTTTATTGGGAACATATTCACAGTTATAAATTAACTCAGGGAGAACAGGTATCTTTATGATGTTGCATTTTCCTAGCCAATAATCTTGTTTTTCTGTTTGTTCAAGCCTCTCATATAAATCTTGGACATTTCTTGTTACATTTTATGGCAGACCGCTGGTTGTCTCCTGATATCCCAATATTCATTCTCCCCTTCTTCCTTAGTAAGAACATTGATTTTTATTTGTTTTTAAGCCATGCAGCTAAAAAACTAGAACTCACAGCCTCCCTTAGAGCTGAGTGTGGTTATGTGTCTAAGTTGTAGCCAGTGAGACATGCAGAAGTCTCCTTAGAAGAAAGAGCCTTACTCCTTTTTTTCTTTCCTTCCTGTATGCTGTTACCTGGACATGGATAGAATGCCTGGAGTTCTAGCAGCTATCTCGGACCGTACAGACAAGGAGTAAGCCCTAGGAAAGCAGCCCTGGTGGTGCAACAGTTAAGCACTCAGCTGCTAACTGAAAGCTGGGCAGTCTGAACCTACCCATCAGTTCTGCAGGAGAAAGACCTTGTGATCTGCTAAACCCCACGGGGCGATGTTACTCTGTCACATGGAGTAGCTGTGAGTTGGGATCCACTCAACGGCACCTAACAGCAACAACAAGCCCCATGATGGTCACTGGACTGTTCACCTCCAGACAACTTTTATATAAAAAAGAAAGAAACTTGTGTCTTATTTGCATCTACCAAACTGCAACTGAATCTACTTCTAAATAATCCAAGCTTTTATTTTATATTTTTAGTTCCTATTTTAAATGAGGTCTATTCTTCCATTCTATCTTCCGTTTGCATATATGTATGTTAGCTATTGATTTCTGCTTATCATTTTGTACCCTGCCACTATACTGAATTTCTACTGATTTTTGTGAAGGAGTTTTCAAGTTAATTCTCCTGGGTTTTTCTAGTCGTTTGAAATTAAGTGATAATTTTACCTCCTCCTTTGCAATATTTAGCTTGGCTGCTAAGCAAATAGTCAGAAGTTCGAACCCACCAGTCACTCCTTGGACACCTAATGCGGCAGTACTACTCTGTCCTATAAGGTCGCTATGAGTCGGAATGACTCAATGGCAACTTTTTTTTTTTGAAGTTTTTTTGGTAATATTTATATTTCTAATTTATTTCTCTTGTCTAGAACCTCCAGAACCATGCTAAATAACAGTGGTGACCGCAAGCTTCTTTGGTAATTTCTTATTTTAGGGAGGCCACTCCCAGCATCTCCCCATCAAGGCAGAATGCCTTTATAGAAACTCTTGTCACTTGGCACCAGGATTGATGGCTACCTTACTGTATTCTCCACTAGATGAGAACTCATGAGCACTTCCATGGAACCTGACTTCCTGTCCCAGCTGTTGGAGGGCCAAATGGGATGTGAGCTATGGGGAAGAGGACAAGGAGGAGGACATTCAGTGTCTCTCTAGTCCAGGGCTTCTCAAGTGCAGCACTATGACACTTAGGTCTGGATAATTCTTTGTTGTGGGGGCTGTCCTGTGCATTATAAGATGTTTAGCAGCACCCTTTGCCTCTGCCCACCCCTCCCCGAGTTCTGATAACCAAAAATGTTTCCAGACTTTGCCAAATGTCCCTGAGGTCCTCCAGTGGACAACCACTGCTCTAATCTAAGTCTTAAGCAGCCATCAGGCTCCAAGGAGATCTGGCCCAGATCATTAAGCCAATAAGGACTTGGGGCAATGCTCTGGCTGTAAGGAAGAGTGTATTCGTCTGGACTCTCCTCTGTCACTTTATCCCTTGGAGATAGGAATCCTGCCCACACCAACCCCATTAATATCTGGCAGCATCAATGCGTCTTTTTAAATGTGTGAGGAAACTG